ATTGCAAGACAGACTCCAGGGAAGACTAGAAGAAAGGGCAATACACCAAATTAACTCATTTCATTAAAATCCACACAGGAATTTGACTGCACATCTCATACATGTTGAGGCATACTTGGAGAATTTCCTTGAGGTAACTGACTGGTGTGAGGAGTGGTGCAGTTACTTTTAATAAAATTAAGTTTGATGCACTTCTTTGTGGATAGACTGTCTCATCACTTAGATTGTCAACATGTTGAAGGCATGAGTCATGGTTTATTCTGTTTTGTATCCTTCATAAATTCTAACATCATGTCATGCACCTCCGTTTCTAAATTAATTTTCTTTTGGTTGAGTGAAACATTGGGAAGTTACAGAACTTGGTACCAACTAAAAGGAAAACCATGTGAGGATGTAGGAGTGGGAACAGGGGTGGGGGAGTGGCTACTTATTACCTGCCAACGCCATACTTTGCCTGTGTGTGCTTTGGTATAGTGTCCAAGCAGGAACCCCAGGAGTAGTTTCTTGCTACCTGAACCCCTATCTTTCAAAATCCTACTTATCCTTCACTTTCCAGCTCAAATATCACCACCTCTAAGGAGCTGGGCCAAACTCCTCAGTTGAAATTAATTTTCTTCTCTCTATTCCTAGGGCAGGGTTTCCAAACCTCAGCACTATTGTCATCTTGTACCAGATAATTCTTTTTTTCGTTGTGGGGAGTGTCATGTGCATTGTATGATGTTCGGCAGCATTCCTAGTCTCTACCTTCTGGAAGCTAACAGCACTTCTGCTATCTCCAAATATTGCCAAATGTCCCCTGGGGATCAAAATTGCCCCTGGTTGTGAATCACTGTTCTATAGCAGTGCTATAGTCTGCATATTTATGTCCCTCCCAAATTTATATGTTGAAATCTTTACTTCCAAGGTGATGCTATTAGGATGGTGAATCTTTGGGAAGTGAGAAGGTCATGGGGGAAGAGCTTTCATGATTAGGATTAGTGCTTTCATAAAAGAGGCCCAAGAGAGAATGCTCCTTCTGTCTGCCATGTGGAGTTAGAGGGAGAAGACCACTGTCTGTGAACCAGGAAGCAGGCCCTCACCAACACCAACTCTGCTGGTGACTTGATCTTGGACTTTCCAGCCTCCAGAACCGTGGAAAAACAGTTCCACTGTGTATAAGTCACCCAGTCTAAGCTATTTTGTTTTAGCAGCCAAAAATACCTAAGTCAAGCAGTTTTTTTGGATAGTCCTTATAGCACTTGTCACATGTTCCTTTTTGTTAGTATATACACTTTACTTGCCTGTTAGATTTTAACCTCTGGGTGTAGAAGGCAACCTATAGTTTTTAATTTTGGTGAGTTCTCAGCATCACACTCTTAGCACTTTTTTTATTGCTTGCATAACAATTTACCACAAATTTAGTGGTTTAAACAACACCCATTTATTAGCCCACAGTTCTGTAGGTCAGAAATCTGAATCAGCTTGGCTAGGTTTTCTGCTCAGAGTCTCACAAGCTGTTGGCCAAATGGGCTCTTACCTGGAGGCTCAGGGGAAGCCTAGCCTTCCATGCTCATTCACGTTGACAGAATCCAGATCCTTGCAGGTGTATGTCTAAGTGCCTTGCTGACTGTCAGGTGGGGGCGCTCACTGCTCCCAGAAGCCATCTGTATTTCTTTTCATGTGTCTCCCTTCACCTTCCAGCTGACAGCTACATGTCAAATTCCCCTAGTGCTTAAAATCTCTGACTTCCCTTTGTGGCTGCTCTTTTGCTACCACCCAGAGAAAGGTCCCTGCTTTTAAAGGCTCCTGTGATTAGATTACCTTACCTAGATAATCTCTCCTCCTCAGGTCAACTGTGCCATATAACATGACACATTCACAGGAGAGATATCCTATCACATTCACAAAATTCCAAAGATTAGGTTTATTCCTTCTGTAATTGAGGTTTTTGGAGAGCAGGGCAGGTCTCCCAAACAGGTCCAAAATGGCTTGAAAGAGCAAGAAAAGGAGACTGGCTCAGAGTTCTTACTGTGGTTAGGAGGTGGAGCCCATGCAAGGGCTCCTGCATGGGAGGAGGGACTAGCATGGTTTCAGTCTCTTTTGGCACACCTGGGCTTTCTTATTGGCTTACTCAGATGTCCTCATCCATTTCGGCTTCTACAACAAAGTGTCATAGGCTGGATGGCTTGTAAGCAATAGAAATATATTTCTTGCAGTTCTGGTGACTGGAAGTACAAGCTCAGCATGTCAGCAAGATCAGTTCTGATGAGAGCTCTCTTCCTGGTTCATGACTGCCAACTTATATCAGTATCCTTCCATGCAGAATAGGAGCTAGTAAGCTGTATGTCCTCTTCTTATAAGGTCTCTAATTCCATTCATGAGGGCTCCACCCTCGTAATCTAATGATACCCCAAATACCCCATCTTCAAATAGCATCACATTGGGATTAGGGTTTCAACAGATAAATTTTGTGGGGAATCAACACTGAGTCCATGGTACCAGATGTGGAGCAGAAGGGAGTGAGGGAGGGGTGAAGCTTAAAAGCTGTCATTAGTCAAATATCCAAAAAATGGAGTCAGACTCCTTGGAACATAACTGGTCATTTTATAAGGCACTGAACAGAGATTATTTTTTAGACTTTTTTTGTTTTGAGATGGAGTCTCACTCTATCACCCAGGCTGGAGTGCAGTGATGTGATCTTGGTTCACTGCAACCTCTGCTGCCGGGGTTCAAGCAATTCTCCTGCCTCAGCCTCCTGAGAATTATAGGTGCCTCCTGGGATTATAGGTGCCTGCCGCCAAGCCTGGCTAATTTTTGTATTTTTAGTAGAGATGGGGTTTCACCATCTTGGCCAGGCAGGTTTTGAACTCCTGACCCTGTGGTCCACCCACCTCGGCCTCCCAAAGTGCTGGGATTACAGGCCTGAGCCACCTCACCTAGCCAGACTTTTAAATGACAAAATCAACTAAGTGTCTTTTTCAATCATGTCCTTTTCAGTTTTTCCCTTAGTATATTTTTAAGTAATAATGACATGTTACTCCAGTTATCAGGTGTTTTCCTTTTGTTTTTAGTTTGGACAGTGGTGAACTCAGGGTTCCCCCTCCCTCCGTTTTAAGCTGGTGGAAGAACAGAGGTCTGTCAACAGTCGGTATCCATAGTCACAGTGTGGTCACTGCCTCCAATAAGTGAGATGGCTGGAACTTCCCTTTTATAAGTGATTGATGGTGGTGACACCCAATTTCTGCTTTTACTGGGGACATTGAGAGATGGGCTTCCTGTAATCACTAATAGAAATATTATACATAGCAACTATGCATAATTTATCCAAAAGAAAAGATATATTTTGTTTGGCATTTTTTTTGCTTCAATTTCATTATTAATGTGTTAAATTAGTTTTAGGGATGAAACAATCAAGGTCTTGTGGTACCATGCTCTAAAAACATAACTGACAATTGCACCCATTTGTCCTCATATAAAGAAGGGAGCATCATGTGGGAAATAGTCAAGCACTGCCCCCAGTTTGCAGCTCAGGATTTGCAGGAGTCCTCCTGGCACAAAAAGTATGAATCGCAGATTCAAAATTAAAAAGGGTCTTGATAATTGGAATGATGGACAGAAGCCAACAAGAATGTAGTAGGCTATTAGGAAAAACTTCTCAAGGGACCTATGGAATGGTTTGTCTTTTAATGAGAATAGAGGATACTAATCTTATAAAAACTTTTCCTTCACAAAGAGTGATACCTTTTCACTTAAACATGTCTTTATAGCTACAATGAGGGAAGACAGACCACTTATAACAGTGCCATGCTTGAAGTTCCTTTTGTTTTGGAGTTGGAATTCTGTGTGCTAGCACAATTGAATTGCGTGTAGGCAATGAGAATTCTCATCCTAAGAGATTGTGTGTGCCTGTGTGTGTTTGTGTGTATGAATGTTTGGTGTTTGGTTGGTTGATATAAACCTGGATCCAAAGGTGGCCTACTCTAAATTAAGTTGACTTGCCAGAACTTCTTGGATATACTAGAGATCATTGGTCCTTAAAGTGTGGCCCACAAACCCCTGAGAATTCCTAAATCCTTTTCAGAGGCCCTGTAATTTCAAAGTGATTTTTATAATAATACTAAGATGTTATTTTCCTTTGCACTGTGTTGTTATTTGCACTGATAGCTCAGCAAAAGTGGTGGGTAAATGTCTAGCTGCTTAACATGCATCAAAGCAGTGGCTCCAAACTGTACTTGTGATCACTGTATTTTTAATTACGATGCTCTTGTAGTTTTTTTTAAAAAGCCAGTTTAACTTAATGCTCTTAATAAAACAGTAAAAAGTTAATTTTATCAAATATCAAGTCTTAAGTTTATGACTTTTGGCATCAGACATAAGTACAAGAGATTTACAGAACTGTTTAGCTCTCACAATTGTGAAAGTAAATTCCCAGTAATAGATCTCTTATCTTATGTATCATTTCTAGTAGTTCAGTTTCTCTGATGGTACCCTGAGTGATACAAATCTCAGAGAGGGAACTTGATAGTTATTTTCAAATATTTTCATGGTTATTTTGTGACCAAAAAAGCAATTTTATTTTGTGTTGATTCAAAGCTTAGAATGCAGTTCCCATAGTAGAGTGAGAGGCAGGGTGGTCTTTGGACTTGGAGATGGACTAGTTTTGTTTAGATTCCAGCTTTGCCATTCACTTGCAGCTTTGGTTTTCTTACGTGTAAAATGGGGATAATAATCATACTCATTTCACAGTAGAGAGAATTAAATGGGTAAATACATGGAAGGTACTTTAAATAGTGCCTGTCATAAACTACGCACTATTAAAGTTTCTATTAAAAATTCTTAAAAGTTACAGGGAAATAGATTTTGCCTCTAGGAATTTTTTAATCATTATAGCTGTTCCACAAAGTACAGTGGATCCTTAAACATGAGGGTAGGGGTGCTGACCCCCTGCAGAGTCAAAATCCACGTATAACTTTTGACTTCCTAAAAACTTAACTACTAATATCCTACTATTCACCAAAAGCCTTATTGAAAACACAAGCAGTCAGTTAACATATTTTGTGTTATATATATTTTGCACTGTATTCTTACAATAAAGTAAGCTACAGAAAAGAAAATATTACTAAAAATCATAAGGAAGACAAAATATATTTACTATTCATTAAGTGGAAGTGGATTATTGTAAAGATCTTCATCCCATGGTCTTCATGTTGAGTAGGCAGAGGAGGAGGAGGAAGAGGAGGGGTTGGTTTTGCTGTCTTGGGTGGCAGAGGTAGTGGAGGTGGAAGGGGATGCAGGAGAGGTAAGGACACTTGGTGTAACTTTTATTGAAAAAAATCAGAGTATATATGGACCTTGCAGTTCAAACCCATGTTGTTCAAGGGTCAGCTGTAGTGGAATGCCTTGCAAAGAACAAAGCCTCCCTTGACTCTCACCAGGGAGACAAGAGGGAAAAGAAATACGACTTTTTAGTCCAAAGACTTAATACAGCCATTTGTTAGTTGTGTCATCACAGCAAGTCATTTAATCTCTCAAAATCTCCATGTCATCATCTACAATATAATTTAAGGGGAACAATATGATTAAAGGTGCTTTGTTATCTACAAAGTGACCTACAAATGTCAGTCCTCGTTATTTCCCTGAAGCCTTTGAAGCAGAATCTGGTTGAGCTTCTCTTTGTCAATGACACCAGAGAAAGGATTCTTGTATTGAAGAGACGTTTGGACTAGATAATCCCTGTGGCTTTCTCCAGCTCTGAGGGTCTATGAACTGTTTCTCAAGTAGCCTGCCTGTTGAGGTTTGTGATCATAGTAAAGGAATTAATAAGGGAAATTTTTTAAAACTATTTTTTTTTTCCCAGAGGGAAGGAGATCAAGCTGTACCAAATAAGGAAATTAAATCAAACAATCAGTTTGGAAGGTTAGCTCTTTCCACATATTATTGTCCCAATTTTAGTTGTGGTTGTTGTTCGTTATTTGCAGAGGTCCTTCTTCATTTGAATTACAGTCAGTTCTACTTGAAAGTGTGCAATTCCATCTTCCGTACTAAGGTTTAGGATAATTTGACTTTCTCATTTTCTTTCTCAGAGCCTCAGATTGTTATGGTTAAAAATAAAGTATTTATCTTCAGTTTAGAAATCTAATAAAACTTTGACAGGAATGTGGAATGGTATAAAGCATCTCTTCAACAAATCCATCTCAATAACACTTCCTGACAATCAAAAACCCTTCAGGGCCACCCCTTAATGACTTCTAAAGTTTTAACGGATTTGTACTAAGGATGTGAGAATGACTGAAAATGGGTTTTAAAGTAGTGCTAACTTGTTTGTTTTAAAATCCCTCTCTGATTTGGGTTTTGAAAAGGGTTTGAGAATATGCCTTCATTAAAATGTAGACTGATGAAGTGATTATGATAATGAGAGCATTACTTGCCTTTGGTTTGGAATTACTAGAGAACTGCTCCAAGGTAAAAGTTTTGTAAAGAAATAAATGTTTCTGAGAGACTTAGAGTCAAGCTGCAGAGGAAAGAGGGTAGCTAGAAATCTACTTTCTAAGAGCTGGGTGATTGTCTACAAGGATGTGAGGCCCTGGGTATCCTAAGGTAGATCTAACCAATAGTGGGCAAGTTTAAAAGATGCAATGTTTCTTAATGCCTGGGCACATTGTAAGAATTAACTAGGGTAAATTTTCAAGATCACGAATTGCCAGACCTCTGTCTTCAAGATTCTGATTTAAAAGATGTGGAATATAGATTTGAAATTTATAAAATTTATTTGAATATGAATTTCCAGGTGATCCTGATGATTGGCAATGTTTATAAACCACTGGAATGATATACTCCTCAGGATCTTAGGTTTACATAGAAAAGAATGGAATTTTCAGAGTGAATTTTAAGAACTGAGTTGTTGTGGGTGATCTTGATGTATTTGAATCTTGATTGCTAGTCTTGAGGGTCTTAGGGAAGTAAGAACTAGTTGCCAACTCTGATAATCGTAAACTGAAGGGAATTCAGAAAATGGGTCAGTTTCTGTGAGTTAGTTACATTATTCTGGGGCCCTGTGATTATAGAGAACAGTCTTCTGTCCACATTTGATAGACAGAACTAAATGTAACTTAAACTTGTACTTTCTGATTTGCTGAGGTATGGGAACACTGTCAGGAAGGAAAATAGGCCCAGATTTTTGATCCAAGATTGTCTTATAAAATCTTATTTAATATTTTCATCATATAAAACTGTATTGTATTTATTGGTGTTTGGCCTTTGGGTCTTGGGTTTGGTATGCAGCAAAACTTAATAGGTGTTTAGTACATATTTGTTGAATGAATTAATTAATTAATGAAAGACAATTTGTGTTCACACTCAATGTACCATAGATTAACTCTGCTTTATCAAATCTATGATCCTAATTTATTATAAATCATTTCTGTAAATACAATATTTACAAGTAACTTAAAAACCTTAAATGTGTTCAGAGAATTGATTGTCGAAGGTTATCTGGCAATACATTCTTCCTGAAGGGAAACTGTTTCATGCAATGGAAATGACATTTTCTAATACACCTATAGGGCAAGAAATACATTTTGAGTATTTTTTTTTTCTCAAAAAAGATAAAGGATATACTTTAGAGATTTGAGTCTAACTCTTCAGGTAATATTGGCATAGGTTAGTAGGAGAAGCTGCAGTTGCTAATGGGTCACAGTAGTTTAGAGTGAAGAAGGGAAAATAGGAAGCTTGCGAGAGATAATGGAAGAGAAAAGTGTCTTAGCACTCTGCTTCTAAAGTTCTCTGATGCTGGGCTTGAATCTTGAGTCCCTTAGTTTTCTGGGGTAGAAGCTGTTAGTGCTTACCCACATCTGCTTTTTTTCTACCTGGCCCCACAGCAGGAGCCCATTTCCCACTCTGCCCTGCAATTAGGCGTGGTGATGTGATTGAGTTCTGGCCAATAGGATATGAGTGGAAGTTGTGTGCATCAGTCTTTGGCTTAATCGCTTTTCAGCCTTTTGGCTTAGATCAGATGTCGTCTTTGGCCTGGCTCAGCATTACTTCTGCTGGGAATGGCCCCATTCCCTTCCTCCATCTGCAGGTTGCACGCAGGGCATCAGGCAGAAGACTCCAAGGCCCCTTCCATCTTGTGATCTTGCCATTCCCTAGGGGCTTAGACATGAAACATGAGATAAACTGCTGCTGTGAAAGCCCTTGAATTATTGGGATTATTCATTACCATGATAAACTTAGCCTGGCTTACATAGTTTCTAAGCACAAGGACAAAAATATGAAATTGGGTCCCTTTAGGAATTCACAGAGGTAGTATGCAAGAGTGGTTTAACACATGCCATGAGCTTTGAAAACCTAAGGAGTTTACTAACGTAAAGTCTACTACCATCTCTGTTGTGTAGCTATGTAGCTTAGGGTCAGTTACTTACCTTCTTTAGGCCTCAGTTTCTTCGTCTCTAAAATGGAGATAATTTTAAAAAAAGACATCCAAGTAGCCAATAAACATATGGAAAAATGCTCAACATTACTAATCATCAGAGAAATGCAAACCAAAACTACAATGAGATACCATCTCATACCAGTCAGAATGGCTATTATTAAAAACTCAAAAAATAAAAATAAAAACAGATGCTGGCAAGGCTGTGGAGAAAAGAGAATGCTTACATACTGCTGGTGGGAATGTAAATTAGTTCAGCCACTGTGGAAAGCAGTTTGGAGATTTTTTAAAGGACTTAGAATAGAGCTACCCTTTAACCCACCAATCCCATTACTGGGTATATTCCCAAAGGAAAATAAATTTGTCTATCAAAAAGAAACTTGTGTTCATATGTTCCTCGCAGCACTATTTACAATAGCAAAGACATGAAATCAAGATAGGTGCCCATCAACAGTGGGTTTGATAAGAAAATGTGACACATATATACCATGGAACACTACACAGCCATAAAAAGAACAAAATCATGTCCTTTGCAGCAATGTGGATGCAGCTAGAGGCCATAATCCTAAGCATATTAATGCAGAAACAGAAAACCTAACACCAAGTGTTCTCACTTATAAGAGGGAGCTAACCATTGGGTACACATGGACATAAAGATGAGAACTACCAGAGTGGGGATGAAGGAGGGGGAGCAGGCATTGGAAAACTACCTATTGGGTACTATTCTCACTACCTGAGTTACAGGATCAATCATATTACACACCTCAGCATCATGCAGTAGACCTATGTAACAAACCTGCTCATGTTCCCCCAAATCTAAAATAAAAGCTGAAATGAAAAATAAATAAAATGGATTTTGTGTGTGTGTGTGTGTGTGTGTGTGTGAGATGGAGTCTCACTCTGTCACCCAAGCTGGAGTGCAGCTTGGTGCGTTCTCCACTCACTGCAACTTAAAACGGAGCTATTTATAGTACTCCCTCAAAGGATCATTGTGAGAATTGAATGAAACTGTTAATAAAGTTAGCTATTATTATTAGAAATGACAATGACTACATTTTAATTTATTCAAGTGCATTTTCTAAGTGCTTCCTACATCAGGGCAAGGAATTTGGAAAGGATAGAAAGAGTAGCAGAACCCATTTTTGCCTTCAGAGAGTCTCCAGTCTAGGAAGATAATTGGAGGACAAACCAATAATTACAGTATATGAATGGTGGTGTGAGTCTGCCAGCTTTTAAATCTGATAACTATAATATATTCATATGCTAAAGATATGCATCAGTAGGTGGAGAGATAAAATATTCTTTTCAACATGTATATATATAAATAATTTAAAAATATTTTAAAATTTAAATTTAAGATTTTTTTTTCCAAACTGGCAATGAATTTACAAGCCAGGCTGCTTTTCTGGAAGTCAATTAGCCCTTCAAAGAATGCTAAAAGTGAAGGTTTGGTCATTTCAGGGCAATATTTGGAGCCTTGTAGACAACTTCAGATGATTAATTTACTCTAACAGTGAATAAGAGAGGTGTGCTGCAGTGTGTCCTCAAGGCTGACTTTTTAGTGATAATTTTACTCAGTCAATTACCTCTTTTTCTTTCTGTCAATTCCATCCCCACCAAGCCATCACAGTACACAGAGGATAATGCAGGTGGGTGATAAAACATACAGTTTGGGAACCTATCCACGCCTTTTTAGGCTCTGAAAGTTTCACCATGAAAAGGGATTGGCACAATGAAACACGAATTCAACATCCATTTAAGCATTTTCGAGCTTGTGTGAGCTTTAGAATTGAAGAGGAATCCCTGAGGATGCTTATGCAAGAGCCTAGTAAACATTTTTTTCTTGACACATAAACAAACATTTTTTTCTAGCTATTCATTTCCAGGCACTGTGCTAGGAGCTTCAGGTTTAAACATAAGTAAACAGGAGCCAAAGTTTTATGGAAAATTTTTTATTCAAATATTTCAAATTTTGTAAGTGCTGCAATCAGTAAATATTCTAATTGTCATGGTTCCACTGAAGCCTTGTCTGCGTGATGCTGTGATCAGGAGAGAGGCTCAAGGTTGTGGTGGCTCAGCTGCCGCTTCGAAGCAGTATGGGAGTTGTGGGTGGAGAAGAGAGTGGTGAGCTTTGCAGGCAGTGGAGACAGGGTGTTCTGGTACAGGGCTCTTTAATTGTCATGACTTCTTGATTTTAAAAGAGACGTTGACTCAAAGATCTGGGAAATTTTATTGAACATGTGACATCTACCAGAACTAGAAGTTAGACATAGCTGCTAAACCTAACAAATATTCCCCGAACTCCCATATGATTATTTTCTCAATCCAGCCTCCTCCCATTACTATCACAACTCTCCTAATGAAAGGAGCAGGAGGAGAAGTTTCTGACATTTCCTTCTCCAGAGGACTTGTCTTCTTTACTGGTTTATGATTTATAATTGTTCATCAAAGTGCTCTGAATATCCCAAGTTACCTAAAATTAACATATCAGTTAATTGGATTTGATACTATTAGAGAGATGGGGAAATATTCTCAAGCAATTGGTTGAAATCAAGGACATAAAAAGAAAGACATTATGCAAATATTTGGTTATTAAGATTTTCTGCCTAGAGGGGATAAAGTCACATAATGGGAAATAAATGAGAATCAAAAGTTTCCTCTATGTTTTAATATTAACTTTCTTTAAGAGTAATATTTGGCCTCTTTAGCATCGTATCTTTATCAAGACAAAGGAACAGAAGCATAAGAAAGTACTGAGCGCTTTGGGGTGATATGTGGATATGGAGTATTGGGAGTGGACATGAGGTAGGGGTGGGAGGGTGGAATGGAAGAGTGAGGCCAATGAAGTAGACGAGTTTGACTATGGAGCACTGTGCTTATCACATGGGGCTTTTCTAATATGAGTAATAATCTGTTCCCAAACATCTAATGAAGGTAGTAACTTTTTAAATATACCTTTCATGTTACAAGACAGTTTCCCATTCATTATCACAGCAATTTGGAGGTGGACTGGTGCTTGCCGTAGGTCACACAACAGACACTGAGATGCGTCTTTTTGGAGGCATTTTCTGCCATTTACTTGATGAGAACAATTGGGATGAGAGACCATGAATAAGTTGTTATCTTTGGATACTGAGATTATAATGGATAATCTGGTTGGTAATCAGATTTTTTTTTAACTTGATGAAACTTAACTCTGGGGTCACTGCATCTGACTTGAAGAATTTAGGCCACTGACTTCAGAGGGACTATGTTTCTGCTTGATTGGGGCTTGGATGGCTTATTGCCTGGGGATTGCGGTTTCTGGGCACCTCAGATATTAATTGAGGGAGAACCCAATGACTCTGGCTCTACAGGAAGTTTTTAAAAAGTTTTTATTATTTATTTATGTGTTTATTTTGGAGACAGAGTCTTGCTCTGTCACCCAGGCTGGAGTGCAGTGGCACAATCTCGGTTGACTGTAACCTCTGCCCCCGGGTTCCAGCAATTCTCCTGCCTCAGCCTCCCGAGTGGCTGCGATTACAGGCACCCGCCATCACGCCCGACTAATTTTTGTATTTTTAGTAGAGACGGGGTTTCATCATGTTAAGACAGGCTGGTCTCAAACTCCTGACCTCAGGCAATCTGCCCGCTGCAGCCTCCCAAAGTGCTGGGATTACAGGTGTGAGCCACCGCATCTGGCCTGGCTCTACAGGACTTTTTAAAGAACCTCTATCCCCAAGCCGAATATGACTGGTCAGTCCGGGGGAATTCCATGGACTTCAATTATTCTTTACTAAATCCTCCCCGGGGGAGGCCTATTCATTTTTCCCTTAGTCCTTTTCTTTGTGGTTTTATAAATTTCCAGTCTATGACCTTTAAGTTGGAGAACTGAGCTGGAAAAGAATGCTTAGATCTGATTCTCATTTTTTAGCACTACAATAAACTATTTGTTCTAAAATAGCTTTATTTTCTAAGTCTTATTCTTCCAACAGGATTGTAAGTTACTGGAGGGCAAGGGCCTTTCTTCTAGATCATTTGTTTTTCACATGTTACTTTTGACCCTTCTAGCCTTTATATCCTGATTTTAGAAAGGCTCAAATAAAACCTTGCATCATGTGGAAATGGCAGAATCGGGTAGTTACGAGCCTGGCTCTGGAGGAAGATGGCCTGGCTTTTAAAATTACAACTTCATCACTTACTAGCGGCATCATCGTAGGGAAATTACATAACTCTTTGAATTATATATAGATACAGATATAGTTGTGGGATTAAATTAGATATTGCACTTGGCACAGTGCTTGACAGGTAATGATCAGGAAATGTTGGTGGATCATCGTAAACAATCATTGTCTTTGTTTTGTGCCTCTACCACAGAACACCACAGACTGGGAAATTTATAAAGAATATCAGTTTATTTTCTCACAATTCTGGAGGCTGGGAATCCAAGCTCAAGGTGTTGTAGGACTGTCTCCTTAGTTCAGCTAAAAATGGGTTCCCTGTCATACGACCGTGAAAAATTAGGCTCGCAGACACTTTGAAGGGTGAGAAGGGCAGGGTTTATTGGGTGAAAAGGAAAAAAAGGGAAGCAGGGACTGTCCACAAAGCCAGAGTCCTGCTAGGTGCCCTTCCTACCTCGCAGATTAAATTCCAGGTTCCACCAGGAAGAGGAGGGGCGTGAACTTCCCAAGACTCCACCCCAGTGTGCACTCCTCCCAGTGCACAGGCCAGTTGGAGTTTCTCTGGGCACCCCTTATCACCTGGCTGTCTTGAAGGTATTGGCATCTGGGGTCTGGTGAGTGCCTTCTAGCTGCATTCTTAATGGCAAAAGTTGGAAGGGCAAGAGAGAGTTAATGCACTCCCGTAAGCTCTTGTTATATGAACACCAGCCCATTTAAGAGGGTGGAGACCTCAAGACCTAAACACCTTCCAAAAAGGTCCCACCTCCAAACATCGTGGCATTGGGATTAAGTTTCCAACACATGAATTTTGAGGGACACATTTAGACCATAGTGATCATCATCTTTTTATAATCTTCATCATTCTTATCTCTGGGGATGGTTGATGATAATGCAGTTGGGTACCTCTATAACTTCTTAATTAATTTTGATTATTTTCAGCCTGGAAAGAAGTTCTTGGTAATGTGTCACAGGGCTCCAATGGCTTTATACAGTTTAGATAAATTTAGAAGGCATCATTAGCCAGTTAAGGATGACCACACATGTAGGAAGATTGGAAAATATACAGCAGATAGAATTAAAGTTTGAAATGATGAGCTAAAACGGCAAGGCTACATTTACAGAGACATGTATGTAGAACTGTATTCAAATTAAAGGTCAAACATACAAAAATAAAATGGAATATATACAGCACTGGAGAGACCTGGCTGAATAGAAGTTAGTGGGAAAAGATCTTGAGAATTTTGTTGATCAGAAGCTGAGCCTGAACTGCTGGTGTGGGGCTTTTACTTAGAGAACAATACCAACTTAGACTACATTCATCAGAGTGTAGTGTTCAGGTCAAGGGAGGTAACTGTCCTGTGGTCTATCGTGCCAGTATGAGCACACCTTGAAATATTATGTTTAGGTTCACGTGCTTTTGCAATCATCTTTTTGCCATTTTTATTAAAGGTTTGAGCTTTTTAAAATTAGCTCTGAATAAAAGTAATCAGAAGGGGGACAGATTTGTTAAATCAGCCAACACCACTCATCATTTTGTAGTTGAGGACTCTGGTGATAAATTATAATTTAGAGGGAACCTTTTTTATGCTTTTCTCGAGAGAGTCTTACTTTAGGTTTGACCTGAAAAGCCAGTTATGTCACTTTATTTTCTGCTTAAGCATTAGGCCAAGTTTTCTTTTGACCTTTTCGTTCTCATTGTGTATTACCTCTCCTTTATTTTTCTCTCACCTCCTCTGCCACTCAGTACTGAATCTCTCTCCTGTGCTTCCTTTCATTATGTGTTCTCACTGTGCCTGCTACTTGAGCTCTTAATTTGATGCCTTTTTATGATCCCCATCCTCTCTACTCTCTATTTAGGGGTTCCCTTTTCACTGCAGCTGGTTAGATAATTTTACCTAGGATTTTCATAGCTTAATGATGACTCATATAATTGTATACTTTTCAGATTGTACATTAAAAAAATACAGTGACAGTCAGGGATCTAGCCAAAAGGAAACTAATGGCAAAAACTTTGGAATTTAGAGCAGGCTGGTGCAGGGAGGATATCTTTTATTAGGGCCCCAGCATCAGGGACAGTGCCTGGTGATTGTGGCAGATGAAATAGAGTGGCATTTCAGTACCCACAAAGTTCCTTTTTGGGCAGGGCAGAGGGCTTGACAAGGGGTATTAGATGTTCATTGAGCAATGAGGGGCCAGGATAGAAAATTGGGGTTGTTAAGGTTGTTTGTCTCTGCTTTTATTCTTAGACCAGAAAGTTCTGTTGACATCTGGACTTGATCTCATTTAGCTGGGGGTGGGGAGGGAGGGTTCTTCTGGAAGCAATGACTAGACCTCATTTCCCAGTTCACTGATGGTGACTATTTCAGGCCATGCCAGAGAGAAAGAGGAAGAATATTGGGCAAGTGGAACTTTTAGAGACAATTAAGTCAGGCAGTTTAAGCTGCAACTTAAATGAGTTGGAGAGTACTTATTATTCCGTGCATGTTCACGCCTTAACTGATGCGTGGCCATCTCACTTCACAGCTATATGAGTCTCATTCTCTTCTCTAGTGAGGGAACCTGGGATACCCATTTTGCATTTTTTTTTTTTTTTTTTTTTTTTTCCTGCAGAGCTTATACATTTCTCTTGGATATCTTCCATGACTTTTGTTTTGTTTTTGGCCAGAAATTATGTCAGTTATATTACGGGGGGCGATTTATGTAAAACATGTTAGTGACTTAAATGGAAGAAATTTTAATAGTGATACTAACCCAGTTGTAATTACTTTAGTTACTGCAAAGCAAAATATAGAATGACAATGACTTGAAGTATTAACCAGTGCATTTTCACAGTTGCATGTCTTTCTTACACTTTAGGGAAGGGAGGCCACAGAAAGAATGACTATAAGAAAAAGGAGTCATTTCTTGCTCTTGAGTTTCAAAATATAATTTTGGAACCCAAGGCAGAGATAATAGTGAGAGAAAGGCACGAGAGAACAGTCAAATATTCGCCCTGCCCTGGAGAGGGGCCTAGGAGAGCTGAAGGAAAGTCAGGGGACCCTGGGAGTCCTCAAGGCTGGGAGAAGGGAAGGAAGACTGAAATTTGGTATGAGCAGTATGGCCAGGGACCAGGCGGGGAACACAGATGTCAGCCTCAGTGGAGGCACAGTAGAAGGATAACGACATCCTGGGACTCAGCTGATGAGTTACAGCTCAGGGATGGCAGTGTGGATGGATGACACTCAAAGCCCAGACACCTCAAATGTCCTGACACTGTGTAATCTCCTCTGTCCCCAGCCCACACCAGATGCAACTCCTACAGAAGAGGGGAGTCCTGAACTGACTGAACAAACTCTCAGAACTGATCATGATTCACATTTTTACCCTTGACGGATAAAGGATTCAAGGAACACATTGCATTTCTGTTTTAGAAAAATAAAGTTGTATTTTTGCATACCTGAATTTGTTCTTCTGACTGTAAATGCTTTAGGAAAAGGCACTGGAGGTGAGTTGTTGACTGAACGGGCTGTTTCCAGGTTGGAAAAAGAGCACTGAAATGCAAGTCAGGAAATTTAGAATTTAGTGTTGGCTTTGGTACTGCTTGACCTTGGGCACAAATTTTTCTCCTCTGGGCTTCTCTGTCTCCATTTATGTGGCTGGCCTGGACTGGGGCTTCCTAACCTAGCGGCAAAAGTCTCTTGGAGGGCCTGAGGAGTTTTTCTAAGGTATCTGAATCTACGTATGAACCAGTCATTGCTGTAGATAAAATAAGTAATATGCCTTTGTCCACAAGTATCACAAATTTAAAAAAGGTTTGTAGATCTATTGTGGTCAATAAATGTGATTAATTCATTTAAAAGCACCACTGGCTGGTTGCAGTGGCTCACGCCTGTAATCCCAGCACTTTGGGAGGCTGAGGCAGGTGGATCACAAGGTCAGGAGTTTGAGACCAGCCTGTCTTAACATGGTGAAACCCCATCTCTACTACAAATACAAAAGTTAGCCGGGCATGGTGGCACGTGCCTGTAATCCCAGCTACTCAGGAAGCTGAGGCAGGAGAATTGCTTGTACCTGGGGAGGTGGAGATTGCAGTGAGCCGAGATTGTGCCACTGCATTCCAGCCTCGATGACAGAGCAGAACTCTGTCTCAGGGGGGGAAAAAAAAAAAGCACCACTACATTTTGATTCTATTTTTATAATTAACTCTTCTCAATTGAGCAAAACAAAAATTGTAACTGCTATTTAGACATTGTAGAGGAATACTTCTAGTCCAAATTTTAGTCTAAAATGTGGTTTCTGTGGGACTACAGGATTCCTAAAGAACCATTCCAAGCCTCACTGGCCACAATCCTAAGATAGAATTTATGTTAATTAGGGATCAGTAAGTACTGATATATAATTATGCTAGAAATGGTTGATTCTCACACTCTATCTGACAGTGGTACTAAGTGATTTATCTCAGAAATATAAAGAATCAGTAATAAAGGAGATGTTTTAATCACTGCATCCAAATAATCTCTTCTCTGATACTAAAAGTCACCCTCTATTTATCTCTAGAAGGGTATAATGGTAAAAACTTAGGTTCAAATGTTGCTTCTTCTGCCTATTTGCTGTGTGTCCTAGATGACTTAACTAACCTTTCTGAGCTGGATTACTACTATTCCTTAAAATGAAGATAAAAGTACTCATTACACAGGGATGTTGTGAAGATAAAATGAGATAAACTGTGAGCCCATTATGTGGTCTGGCATAAAGAAAATGGTCAAAAATATTTGTTCCCCTTAAAGCCTTTTGGAAAGCTTATTTAATGTAAAGGTATAAAAAGGCAAAATAAATTAACACTGGCCTAAATATAAAAACGTGTAATTTAAACATTGAATAAGCAGCAATTAAAGCACATGTTCACTTGCCACTTTGTCCAGAGCTGGTTTGGAATCATCCCATTCTCTCCACGTAATGAGCAATGCAGCTTGACCGCCTGGAAAGCAATTCGGCACTGGGTCCTGTCTCTCTAAATCTCGGAAGAGCTTTCACCTGTTTTCATCCCAAGCCTTGTCTTTCTTTCTGAGCAAGTACTGAGAGTGCATTGTTCAGCCGCCCCCATTCAAGTGCTGCCAGGAATGAGATCCTGGAGGTGCCCTCTGTTGTGAGGTCTTGAAGTAGAACTTGAATGGAGAGAATGTGCTTTCAAAATAATTTAGTTTGAATGCATTTTCACTTTGGTGGGGAGAGGAGGCACAGATGGCTGAATCAGGACATGCGCCAGTTCTTTCCTCACACCAGGCATCCAGTGAATGCAGGCTGTGGGAAAATGAGCTTTAGGGGAAGGACGAAGGCTAAAAGAACCCAGAAAGTGCTTGCATGATGTGTTCCCTGATCCACCATTAAAAACAGCTGTTTAGGGGAGTGAAGGGGCTTTGCTAAGAGATTAGGCTGGCTTCGGAAATATTTGCTGCATTGCAGACCCCGAATAATAGAGATAATTGATCTCTATTAGTGCCTTCAGGAACTGTTCTATTGGAGAGAGTGGCTTGGATAGGAACAACAAGTGGCTGGGAGACCAGATCCCTCCCCCCAGCAGGAAGCTTGCCAGGATGTAGGTTTCCCAGGCTCACCTGCTATCCTCCTCCAGCTCTGCCAAGCCGTTTCTGGCTGGATGCCACTCCCTGAAGCTGTCAGGAAAGTTGTTTCACATTTCCTGATCCTCTGATTTGCGGGTCCCAAAGCAGCAGCTTCTTTGCTTCCAACTGCTTCATTTACTCATTCCCCAACACTGCTGCACTCCAACTGACTTACTGAAGTTCTTTCAGGTTCCAGGGAGCAGACAGGCTCGGGTTGTCTAAGGTTATGGGAGTTATTGTGGGGATACATGAGCGGGAGAGAAGACAGAAAGCCTTTCAGTAGCCAAATAGTCAGCCTCAAGGAACAGAGCAGATGTTTCTCACTCAACAGTAGCGCTCCGTGCCTGGGTTGTTTTGCTAGGGCTTTTAACCATGTATCATAAACTGGGGAAGTAACAGACATTTATCGTCTCTCACTTCTGCAGGCTAGAAGTCTGAGAGCAAAGTGTCCACGGGGTTGCTTCCTTCTGAGGATTGTGAAAGAGAAAATTTGCTCTGCGGTCCTCCACTAGCTTCTGGTAGTTTGCTGGCAATTTGGAGGCTTCCTTGGCTTATAGGTGCATCACCCCAATCTTTGCCTTTATCTTAATGGGACGTTCTTCCTGTGAGCGCTCTGTCTCCAAGTTTCCCCCTTCGATAAGGATGCCAGTCACAATGACAATGACACTGTTATGGGTTGAATTTTGCCACCTAAAAATCCATATGTTGGAGTCCTAAACCCCACTACTTTGCAGTGTGGCCTTATTTGACTGTAGGATCTTCACATGGGTAACCAAATTTAAATCCACTTTTATTCCTGTCTTCAAGACTCAGTCATAGCCCTGAATAAGCGTATCCTTCCTCAGTCTCTCTAGGGATTGTAGCTTTCCTGCTACTGAGTGTCTGCTGTTTCCACTCTTCTCTGTGACTTGTGGTTTCTGCTGTCTTAGGACCTCCTTATGTTGAGTTTTCTCTCTGTGACTTTGGCTTCCATATCATTCTCTTGATTTCTGACTCTTGGAAGTATTGAAGCTCCTTGAGAATGTCATTGGTTTAGTCACTTCCTGTCCAGCACAGAGCCCCCCGCCCGGCAAGGCTGTCCTGTCAGGCTACTCCCGAGGCCTGCTGGTTTCTGGCAGGTGGCTTGGCTCAGGCACCAACCTCTTGACCAATCAGCCTTGGCCGTGATAGTGGGTCTCACAGAACACAGCATGGTGGCCTTGGCAGAAATCATTTCCCATGGCTGCTTTTCTCAGAAGGAGGCTACAGACATGTGGACGTGCTCAGCTTTCAAAGTGGCTGTGTGACTGGCACTGTGCAAAGCCCTGGAGTTCAGTGGAAAAGCTGTAGTTCCTTCCGTGTACACATTTTGCTTAGGTGTGTTCGATGGATCTGGCCTGGGCAGATCTCATTTCATGATTCTCCTCACTTTGAGAAACTCCTCACAGAGCCATCACGATTTTTTGAGTCTACTGGTGTATTTAAAAATTTTAAAATGACTAAGGCGGCTTACAGTTATGGCAATATAAACGTTTACATATAAACGCTTTTAACTCCTTTGGTTATTCATAAGAGAATTACAGTGGTTATAAAACTATTACTCATATGCACGTCAGTAAAGGGACACAAGCTTACAGGGTTGTAGGATGACTGTCTTTACTCTGTCTGCTAGAGTATATTGTGGCCATATGTGTATAAGTTTATTTGGCGATACCATCAAATGGCTTAAGTTCAGGACCTTTGTGCATGTGACTCCAAACCAAATGGTACTCCTATCTACTCCAGATTTGCTCCCCTTTCATTCCTTGAAAGGATTTGAGGCTGGAGGTACAGGCTCTTCAAGGATTTCATTAAACTTATGTGATTCTGTATAGGTTCCCATTTCAAAACCCAGTTAAATTACTTAAGTTAGGTATGTTCCTTTAAAAATTCCCTTTGACTTGGTATGGATGATTAAGCAAATTCCGTGCCTAACACTGTGCTAGGGCTCCCCAGAGAACATGAAACTAATCAAGGTGTAGGCCATTGCTTCTACCAAGTTCCCAGTTGGTACAACTCATTGGTCATAATCACCTTGTGTTGTATGAGCTTTTTTTTTTTTCTTCAGCTGTGGGATGTAGGCATTTGAGTGGTACTGCCCACAGTCCTGCACCTTGTTGGCCCTCCTCCATGTGTACTGATTCTAGAATTCCTCCTCTACTTGCGGCTTTTATGGTTTCCACGTGCCTTTCAATAACGCCGGCTGTTTCCCCTCCTGCTGCTCTGCTGGCGTTGCCTAAGGTGCATGTGGCCTCCACTAAGCGTGAAGGCTTTTAAAGAAACTTTTACTTCCATAATGTACTTTTTAGTGTTTTCAATTTCACAGCCCCATTGCTGTTTGGGAAGCAAATGATTTATGAGGAGTTTCCAGAGAATTGATTTCTTGAGATCTGGGTGATCCTTGGCAATGGGATAGGGTTTTTCTGCCTAGTTACTACAGGGTAAAAACAGAAGAAAACAAACTGAAAGTCCTGACTTGAGAGAAGTTTTATTTATCTGGCTTTGACTGATCAAGTAAAATCAGTGAAATTTAGTTATTTTATTTTTGGAAACTTGGAATTCACCCAGATACTCCTAATTGAAGAACAGGATGTTTTTGTTTGTTTTTGGAATCATCACTTTTATATATCAGAGAAAACTGGAAGCTGAAAAGCTTTACCTTTCCTTTGTCATCTCTGTGTTATTTAAAGGATTGGGGTTTTTTTCGTATTTTTTAAAAAATGAGTTATTTCCGCAAATTCTAGAAATTTAAGATGGGCAATTTATTTTTTTAAAGTTTATAATTGACATAACTGTACATATTTATGGGGTACAGCATGATGTTTCAATAGACGTACATACTGTGAACTGATTAAATCAGAGTAATTAGCATATCCATCACCTCAAACATTATGTCTTGGAGATGAGAACACTCATAAATCCCTCTTCTAGCTTTTTTTTTTTTTTTTTTTTTGAGACAAAGTCTCACTCTGTTGCCCAGGCTGGAGTGCGGTGGGGCAATCTTGGCTCACTGCAACCTCCACCTTCAGGGTTCAAGAGATTCTCATGCCTCAGCCTCCTGAGTAGCTAGGATTACAGGTGACTGCCACCATGCTGGACTAATTTTTGTATTTTTAGTAGAGACGGGGTTTCACCATGTTGGCCAGGCTTGTCTCAAACTCCTAACCTCAGGTGATCCACCTGCCTTGGCCTCCCAAAGTGGGATTATAGCTTCTAGCTATTTTAAAATACACAATATGCCATTGTTTAGTCATCCTGCTTTGCAATAGACCACCAGAACGCATTCCTCCTATCTCACTACAGTTTCTCATCTCCTCACTCACCACTCCCCATCCTTTGGTAACCACTATTCTACTCTCTACTTCTATGAGAACAATGTTTTAGATTCCACATATGAGTGAGATCATGAGATATTTGTCTTTCTGTGGCTAGTTATTTCACTTAACGTAATGTCTCCCAGGTTCATCCATGTTGCCACAAATGACAGGATTTTATTCTTTTTTATGGCTGAATGGCATTTCATGGTGTATATACACGCTATATTTTCTTTATCAATTCAGGTATTGATAGATATTTAAGTTGATTCCATATTTTGGCTATTGTGAATAGTGCTGCAATGAACATGGGAGTGCACCTATCTCTTCTACATACTGATTTCATTTCCTTTGGATATATACCCAGCAGTGGGATTGCTGGATCATATGGTAGTTCTATTTTTAACTTTTTGAGGAACCACCATACTGGTTTCTGTAATGGCTGTGCGAATTTGCATTTTCACTAGGAGTGTGTAAGAGTTCCCGTTTCGCCACATCTTTGTCAACACTTATCTTTTGATTTTTTGACAGTAGCCACTCTGACTGGAGTGAAGTGATGTCTCACTGCAGTTTTGATTTGCATTTCCCTGATGAGTGATGTTGGGCACCTGTTCATATAGCACCTGGTGCCTTATTCTGTCCGTTTGATGAGGTTGTGGTTCCCTGAATGTTATTGTTGACGCTTGTGGGCATGTGATAAGTCTGTGTATCGAAAGACTAGGTATTTATTTCCAGTCTGCAAAAACTGAGTTTGTCCCCATCCTTCCAGAACCTCTAAGCCTTCTGTTACCGTCTCCGAGCCTTGAAGAGGCGCTGAACCTTCCAGAGCCTCTAAGCCTTTTGTTACCGTCTCTGAGCCTCTGTTACTGCCGCTGTTTCAGCACTAGATGGCACCATAAGCCCAAGTTTGCCACAAGTCCCTGGTTTGTGTGTTGCCACATTTTCAGCACTAGAGGGCGCTCTGAGCCCAGGTGTTCCCGTGACCCTGTTTCTGAGGGACCTAAAAAGCTTCAGGGAGTTTTCGCCGTGGGCTGGGGCGGGTCCAGATGCTCCATTCCGGCGCTGGAAGGTTCTGCCTAGTTCTGGGCCTCACTGTGGTGGGCCCAGCACTGGGATCCAAGGTAACTTCTGGAGTCTACTTCTCTCTCCTTTCCTCAAGCAGACGCTGCCTATCTTTGTGCCCGGCGGCCTGGGGTTGGGTCGGGGGGGGATGGGACGGCAGCGCCGCGGCCACCACGGCTGACCGACGCTGGGTCACACCCGGAGTCCGCAGCCTCCGAGGCCAGCCCAGCACAGGGCTACTCCTGAGGCCCACGCGGCTGTGGCCTGCCTGCCACCGAGGCAGCTGGCGCCGAGGCGGCCCAGAGCACGAGGCCGCCACATCGGGCGCGGGTCCCCCGAGTGACTCCGTCCACAGGCTCTGGCCTGGCCTGGGGTTATCTGGTTCTGCCACACAGAGGAAACCAGCCAATGTCGGGTTTCACGGTGGCCCGTGGGGGCCAGTGCTGAGTTCTAAGACGAAGTCCTGCACTGAGCGCTTTCCCCTTCAGCGGACGGGGTCGCTGTTTGCCTGTGCTGCCCAGGTTTGGGGGCGGGATGGTGGACGCAGCACCGTGGCCACCAAGGCTGACGTTAAGCTGGGTCGCACCCACAGTGCTTGGCTTGGACCGGCACATCCCCGGCCTGCCTGCCTCTGGTTCCCTTGTGGCCGAAGCCCCTGGAGACGCCCTCGGTGGTGCAGGCCGACCATGAGCCCATCCCACCAGGATCAAGGCCTGGCACCCGGGAGGGTCCAGACGCTCCATCTGCGGGCCCTGGCCTGGGATGGGGACCTGGGATTCTGCCCGGTACCGTGCTCCACGTCAAACTCCTGCACTCACTCCACTCTCCCTCCTTGAAGCAAGCAATGCCTCTCTCCAAGCTTCCAGGCTTGGAATTAGGGAAGGGTGAAGCAGGCAGTGAGACTCTGTCCTTCTACCCTCTTCAGTGTGTCTTTTCTTATTACTGTGCTAAAACCAGGCACTGAGATCTCTGACCTGGTTTCCTTAGCTCTTGTGAAGGTACCTTCCGGCATGGGTACGTGTTCAAAAGGATGTTTCTGTGGGAAATGATCACTGGAGTATTCTTTTTGGCCATCTTGCTCCACCCCCAATTGTTCAAGACTCCTGGACTATTACAGTCAAAAGGGAGCTTCAAAACCACTTTCTTTGGTTTCTAGCTGTTTCCTTATGAGAGATACCCGTTGCTACCCAGAACTCTCTGATTGGAAAGCTTTAAATCTATCAAAAAATCATTGGACGAATTAACCAAATGCATGCAGAGTTGCTGATCTAACTTGTTACCAAAAAGAATAGCTTAACACAAAGACACTTTTTCTAGTGGGCTTGTAAGGGTTGATGACAAATAAATTAAAAGTTTTAAATTATTAAATTATTTAATGAATTACTTTCAAAATGCAGAAAATATCAACGACCCCTATACTTCCAGCATCCCTAGTTTTATGAACCACTGATAGAGTTTGTTCAACCATTATAGGGGATAAAAATTGAGGTCTCAGAAATACTAAATAATGTTAGCAAATGTCACATAGTGATTTTCTTTTCAAAATCAATTGGAGTGATGTCATTAATATGCAGTAATTATAGCTCTTGTAGCCTTTCAGTTGGGGTGTAGCCCAGAGTTTGCATGATTTATATTGAACTGTCAAAAAAAGTAAGCCTAAGTCTTTCAGTCTCTCTCTCTCCCCCACCACACCCTCCCACCCTTTTTCTCACCTCTTATCTCTTATATTCTATCATTTTAGTGCCATTATATGTATTTATAATTTAAGTTCATATTGACATCCTCCCAGTGACAGGAGTACAGGAAATGATGTAGGTGCAAGGTGCTTACAGTCTGGAGGAAAGGATGTGAAGCAAGAATGAGAAAGCCTGAAGGAACCATGCAGACATTGAGTCTTTCTCTGGGGCTGTGTGGCCTAATGTCTCTGCGTTTCTTGGGCTTCTGCTTCATCCCTTTCTTCCTGCAGACTCTCTCCCCTTGCTCTCAGTGCAGTGAAAAAGGTGGCTGTCCTTCAGGTCAGGTGCCGTGCACAGAATGATCAGAGCTTTGGTATCAACTCCTTTTTCATAAGAGAGAAAATCTGATTTGCCTTCTTGGGACAGGTGGCTGGGGGTGTTCCTGGGAAAATCTCAGGGGAGGGGAATTGTGGATCCTTCTCTCCCTTCCAAGGCATCTGT